CACACACACATGAAGGTTCTTATACAGAGCTTTTTTCTATTATATGCTATCTCAAGTAAATCTTGAGAATTGATATTCCTTTGCATTTTTCCTGGAAAATATCTATTAAATTTCATTTTAAGTGTAAATAATAGATATTCAAGTCCAGAGGAACAAATTTTCATCTCCTACGTGAACCAGAAAAACTGAATATCATAGCTCAGATCAATCATTAGCTCCTTTCTCGAGCTTCCCAGACAGTGAGTGGGTGTCCAGATCTGAAAAAGCAGACACTAACCAATATCCAAATGGCTACTAGGCGAAACTATCTCTCAAAGCGAGGAGGACGAAGGCCTGCCTTCTTCAGAGATGCCAGTCCTGGAAGGGCCTTATGAATTTTAGGCCTGCTGTCACGGGTACCACCTGGGGGTACCGCCTGCAGGTCACAGCATCACACCCCCTCACGGATGAGAAGAGGTGTCAATATTTTTAAAACGCCGCCTCTATTTATAAAATGTCATTTCTCCACAAGTCACTGACTTGAATTGAGTTTCTAGTGCTGCTTGCTGGTGTGAATGAATGGCTGTGCTCTGATGCTGTTACGTTCTTAAAAATGACCTTGGTTCCTGACTCCTCGCCAGGGCCTTAGGAGGACAAGTGCGCCCATTGCAGACCCTTGTGGCCTGCTCCTTATCACTTTTGCGGAACAGGGGCTTCAGGAGAGGCTTCTGCAGTGGTGTTTGCTTGCAGTCAGAAGCTCTCCAGGACAGCCGGCCTCAGGCTCCACCTGCTTCTCCCGGGAGATTTAGCACGGAGAGGAGGGCCGATGAAGTCAGCCCGGCTGCCTGGGCCCCAGAGCACATCATGACTGATTCCAACAGGGACTAGGCCTTGACCACAGACCAACCCCCCTCCCCGCCCCCGCCAAGAAAGGCCCGGAGCCTCACTTCCGTCACAGGATTGTTACGCAGAACCAAGTTTCCAGCTAACTTGGGAAGAGTCTCAGACACAACATGAGGGGGTCACAGAATGATTTTCCATGACCTCCTGTTAAGTGGAAGCCGAGACACTATAAAATATCTGTTGTTTAGAAGCAGAGTACAACATCTTGTTGGCAAATAAGCAAATAGATCGTTTGACCTATTAAAGTAATTATTCCTCCCAACGGAGTAACAGTTGCAAAGGAAAGCAAATGCTTCGGGGGCCTGAAGCATCACCGTGTGAAGGGTGCGCTTCCTGAGGGTTTGCACCCCTTATGAGACAATGTCTGAAAGGGGCCAACAATTCTATTTTGAGAGAACTGGGTGGCGGTTAGAATTTCCACGTGTCTGGAAAGACTGTAGGCCTGCAGATCAGCTGGGGCATGACAGCACTTCAGCTAAAGCTAAGTGCACACTGACAGGTCCTGTGGTGGCCCCTTTGGGGGCCAACTCCCGTGGTGTGTGCCTGCAACACTGATTTTTGGCATGGGAATTCACTTCAATGCCTCTGTCTATTTTTTCTTACCTATCAAATGGGAAGACTTCTTTTACCTTGGAGCCCAAGAAGTGGCAAGGAATAGCAAATGAGCGACGGAATAAAATTTGCAAATGCCCTGTCAAAATGCTCAGGAGGATGGCAGATTTCCCTAGACCAGAGGCTCCCCAAAGTTGGAGAGTAATTTGTGCAGCCTGTCAGTGCAGAATTGAGTAGGGGGGTGAAGCCCTTGGTGGTCTTCTTGCCTTCCCTGCATGCTTTTCTGAATGGTGTTGCCATTTAGGATGGATTGATGGCATTTGGATTGGCCGGCAAGCCTGCGCTGTGTGATGGCTGAGGTTGGGAGCCCGTTCTGCGCCTGCGTCTGTCATCTACAGAGGCAATATCATTTGCAAAGTCAAAACCATTCCGGGCACACCTAGGGCGCCCATGGGAGCGCCTGGGATGGGTAATGAATCCAAACTCACTTTCCAGCTCGCTCCCATGACAAATAGTCTGGAACAATGATGAAGAGAAATGAGGACGGGCTACATCCCCTCTGTGCACATTCCAGTTAATTTCCCAGAAGCCAATACGAGTAATGCAGGTTCCAAGCACACCATTGTCTAGGGTGACAAATGAAGAGGGAGTGGGTTTTTTTATGTTTTGGAGAGGTGGGGGAGGGTAACAAATGCGGAGTTTGATTTTCTGTTTTTTCCTGTAAGTGAGCAGGAACAAGAGGAAAGTGTGAGGGCAGGAAACGTCCCGCTCTAAGGAAGGACTGCAGAGACCAGGTTTGACACTGTGAAAGGTGTTTAGCATGCTAACAAAATGCAGCATAATGTGGCTCTAAAGCGCTGACTGAATTGATAAAAGAAATCTGGGCTACCCCGCTGTGCTGAATACCCCATGCTGTGCAGAGCAAAGGCAGCCAATATACTGCGGAGCTTGATGAGGTGGGGGAGTGGATTGGCAGCCTGGGCTCAGAACTGTCGAGGTCTCGGAGGCTGTGAAAGGGATGCAGTTTGATCCTGCCGCCAACTGGCTGGGTGATTTGAGCAAATCTCCGCCTTATCTCCCTGTACCTCGAAAAAGGATAGTTTCTAGTTGATTAATCACTTTGCAAATGTGATCTGCAGATACCACATATCGAATAGATGCTGCGGCTGAGAATCTGAGACCGTACTACAGCAAGTGTCGTTTAAAGCTTAGACACAATGACCGGGATCAAGGACTGAAGATGATAGAACTAGGTTGCACAAATGCCTTGGAAAATGAATATTTTGGGGAGGACAGAGCTGGCCGGAGGGGCAGGCCACCGTGTTTCCTGGCACTGAGGAATGGGCGGCCACACACGATCTCCAGGAGAGACATTAGCGCAGAGCAGGGGCAGCTGATGGACGTCTGTACCCAAGCCTCCAGTGGCTAAACCAGGTCAGGGTCCTGATGGTGGGGGACAACTCTGTGCATTGCGCAGACAGAGCATTTACATTAAGTCTGTGCCTACTTCAGACACAGAAACACTTCCATCATCACTCCCTCAGAGCCAGAACGGAAGGAAGGGAATGCAGACAGATGTCTGTAGGGAATGGGGACTGGGGGTTTCACACCTTGCCAGTCCCCTCAAGGGGGCAGAGGGCTGGTTGTTATGGCTCGCTGATACTAACTATGCTGAATTCAACAAGAGACCTTGAATTATTAATTTTAAAAAATCTTAACATTTCCTTATATGTTTATAATAAAACTCAACTCTAACCGAAAGGAAGTTACTTTCTCCAAAGTAAAAGTAATTTCATACGCTTACATTCATCCATCCTTTCCATCATCAACTCCACAAATATTTATTAAAATCATAAAAGCATATCACTCTACAGAAACAAAGTGAGACATATGAAAGTAAAGTGTAAAATCAGTGACCTCATGAGGTGGCATTTTGAATTTTATGTGCAGCATAATCTAGTAAATTATCACATTAATAGACGCGATTCTCTTTTTACGGAAAGGGAAGCCCATCGTGCCAATAACTCTTCACTTTTTTTCTAAGGCCTCCATCCCTGACAGTACCACTCCAGAACTTTCTTTTCCTCTCTCCCTCTCTCCTTCCTTTCTTCCTTTCGTTTTTTTGTAATGACAAGTTGAATTTATTCAACTGCAGAAATGCTACTGAATGAACCTTTATAAACTTTCAACTTAAAATTTTTTCTCGTAGAAAAGGGACCTCACAAGGGTTGGGAAAACCATTTCTGGGTTTACCCAACAAGGATTGCAAATTTCAAGAATTGAGACAAACAGGATTATAATCGCCATTTAAGCTCCTCAAGTCAGTCTGGTAATGAATGGCCCTCCTGGTGGAGAATAAAATCAGTGTTGGCATCAACTCAGGCCAGAGGAGAGGAGAACTCAAGGACTTGCCCTGAATCTTAGTTATTGTAGGACGAGCTTCCTGACTTATCTTTTTCCTCCCATACAATAGCAATTTACATTTTATAGGATTTTACATGTTAAAAAAAATGATTCCATGATATTTGCTTAATCCTCATGGCAACTCTGTAAGGTAGGTGTTATTTCCATTTAAATAGATGAGGATAGGCTCAACCAGATTGTCTTTTTTGGTTGACTATAGTGTTCTAAATTTTATAAAAAACTTTGACACATATTATATCATCCTGAGTCTTATATCCCTGTGTTGTAGATAAGCTATATGGCTATAGCCCTCAGTTCATGAGTGAAGGCTCAGATTGTTAGTAAGAGGTGCAGCTGGATCTTGGCAGGGGCCTGAATAAGCAGAGGAGTACCCACCCTGCATCACCACCTTGTGCAATGTGAAGCTGAGTCAGTGTGATGGTGGTGAGGGGGCGCTCCAGGGCTGAGTCACTCGTGGGCATAGAGGATATGGCAAGTGTTTGGCTCTTCCAGACATAGGAGCAGCTCTAATTTCATCTTCTTGGAGCAGTAATGGAAAGAGGGAAAGGATCTTGGAAGTGGAACAAACATTTGCATGGAATGGTGAGTGGTAACTCCTCAAGCTTCACAAGCTCTCCTAAGTGGGGTTGCCAGACAAACTAAGGATGCGCATAGATCCCATACAATTTTGGGGGCACACTTACACTAAAAAATTATTTGCTGTTTATCTGAAATTCAAATGTAACTGGGTATCCTGTATTTTTATTGGTCAAATCTGGCAGCTCTACTCCTAAGGGAAGGGTAAGCCAATCTTCTGCCCCTTGCTCTCGTCACTATGAAGCATCTGTACAATGGTGACAATAATCTACCAATGGCAATTGTGGTTGAAGACCTCAACTGAGATAACTTCCTATTATTTCTGACTTGAGCAACCTAAGGTCAAAATTGGGCTAAATCTAAGTATTTCCATAGCTTTTGAATTTGGAAGATCAAGCTTTACACAATTGTTAGTGGAGGCTGTCTTCTGGCACTGAACTAACAATGTGGTCCAGACTGTCCCTCTGTAACACACCTCTCCTCAGACATCACTGGACTGAGAGTCCCACACCCAGCCCTGGGTCCATGCCTCCCCATCCCATTCTTTGAATAGAAGAGCCACTTACTTGTATGGGATGTGCTTGCTGCCATTGACGAGAGCCAGGATGACATTGCCCAGAGCAGACAGGGAGAGGCACAGCCCTGAGCCTCCTTCCCGATTTTTGCTGAGCGCTTTCACACAACTGCCAAGATCAATGAGGTGCAGGCGGCTGCGGCCTCCAGACACTGCCACAGAGAAGACAAGAGGAGAGAGAAGTGGTCAAGTTCTGGCAAACACTAGTCTGTGCTTCATGTGGCTCCTGGGAAATCTGAAGGAAAAAAAGGGAGGAAGTAAAAGGTTAAAGTTCATGACCCAGTAGGAAACCCCAACAAAATCATGCTGGGGTGACAAATAGCATGGTCCTCTTAAATTCTGTCCACCACATACCACTGACCTTCTAAAACCTGCTGACATTCATCCTATAAATAAATGAATAATTCTTGTAGGTTAAATTGGATGAGATTTCAGAGAAGGTAAATGTCTAATAAAAGGAGGATAAGGTTTGTACCTACATGTCCTTTGGATAGCAGAATTCTGAAACTGCTCAGGTTAAATCTGAATGGCCTGTGAGTGATTATCTGCTTTGGTTGATCATCATAGAGACCCTGACCTAAAGATCAGCCAGGAATAAGGTTGATAACTCAATACAAAATCAGGAAGAAGTAACAACCAGGTGCAGAGAAAGGAAAAGACCCAAGTATTTGCTGAGTATCTGCCAAGTACCAGGTATTGCACAAACACCAGTCTCATTCACTTTCCACAGTAAAATCATCTGCTAAATACTCTTGTCCTTTTTTTATAGATAAGAAAATACAAGTTTGGAAAAGTTAAGAAACTTGCCCACGAGTACTTCTGCTTCTGACCTAGATGAAGTAAGAAACGGGGACTAGATCAATCCTCTTACAACCAAAAAATGAACAAAATGTATAAAACAACTGTTTGCAAGATACTAGGCATCAGGCAGTAAATGATAGTGATCCCTGAGAGGTGGAAAACAAGTAAGGTGAACACTACCTATATCCCAGTAAGTTTCCAGGCCATGGCTCAGGGAGGGGAATTCAGGTGGACTCTCTGAACTGAGGAGATAGAGCAGAGAGTCCAGGGAGACTAAGGTTGCAATGGTTCACAGAACAGAGTTCTGGAGATTTGCAGAAGGTCTCCTTGAGTATTCAACTGAGCACTGATCAACACAGACATGTGAGAAAACTACCCAAGGCTGGGGAATTAGACACCTGAAAAGATTAGGGCGAATAGTGCACAGCACTCACATAAGGTCAGGAATAGTGCTTCTTCCCAAGAGCCAGACTGGAAAACTTCAAGATTCCGAGTGCACTGGTTAGGGTACCCAGAAGGGTGTTGCCCTGGACTGAACACTGACCAGGTCCCACCTACAAATCCGAAAGGCAAGACCAGAAGGGACCAAACTGTTTCCAGATAACTACATCCCAAAACAAAGCTTAAGAATATTTACAAAATACAAAAATGTCCAGCACCCAATCAAAAATAACCAGGCATGCAAAGAAGCAAGAAAATGAGACCCATAATGAAGAGATCGTTGAAACCCATGCAGAACTGACATAGATGTTAGAATTGACAGAGAAGGACATTAAAACAGTTATGACAGTATTTCAAATGTTCAAAAAGTTAAGACATGGAATATATAAAAAAGACACAAATTGTATCTATACAGAGATGAAAACTATAATGTGTGAGTTGAAAAATACACTTGATAAGATTAATGGCAGATTAGATATTGCGGAAGAAAAGATTGGTGAATTTGAAGATATAGCAATTGAAACTATCCAAAATGAAATAAAGAAAGAAACTTTAAAAATAAAAAACAAAAAAGAAAAAAAGAGCCGTAGGACAACTTCAAGTGTCCTAATATGTGTGTTGTTGGAATCTCTGAAGAAGATACATTGCGGTATAGATAAAATATTTGAAGAAATAATGGCCAAAACATTCCCAAATTTGATGAAAACTGTAACCCACAGATCCAAGAAGCTCAATGAGCCCCAAGTACAAGAAACGTGAAGAAAATTAGACTAAGGCACATCATAATCAAACTGCTTAAAACCAGGGATGATGAGAAAAATCTTAAAAATAGCCAGAGGAAGAAAACATGTTACATATAAAGAAAGAAAGATAAGGAGGATGGCAGATTTCTTGTTGGAAATAATACAAGTGAGAAAATAGTGGAGGGACATTTTTAAAGTACAGAACACTGTCAACCTAGAATTATACACCCAACTAAAGTATCATTCTCAGACAAAAGGGAAATAAAGACTCAGACTTACAAAAAGCTGAAAGAATTTACCATAAGCAGATCCACAAAGGGATGAAGAGCTTTGGAAATGATAACTAGGTCAACAATATGTTTTTCCCTATTATTTAAATCACTTTAAAAGATAATTGACTGTTAAAACAAAAATAATAACACTGAATATGTGGATTATAATATATGCAAAATTAAAATGTTTCACAACAATAGCACAAAGGTTAGGAGTGGAGAAATGGAAGTACTGTATTGTAAGGTTCTTATTCTATACACAAAGTGATATAATATCACTTGAAAGTAGACTGTAATAACTTAAAGGGGTATACTATAAATCCTAAAGCAATCACTATATAATATAATGAAAGGTTATAGCTGATAAGCCAACAAGGGATATAAAGTGGAATTTTTTAAATGTTCAATAAATCCAAAAGAAGGCAGATAAAAAAGAAAAGGAAAACAAAGAACAGATGGGTCAAATAAAAAACATATAGAAAAATAATAATTTAGACCAAATCATATCAATGATCACATTAAATATATATAGTTTGAATACCCTCATGTAAAAGGAAGAAATTGTCAGACTGGATAAAAAAGTGAGACCTTACCATATGCTCCCTATGAGAAACGCATTTGAAATATAAAGAAACAGTAGATTGAAAGTGTAAATGTGGAAAAGTCTATATTATACAAACGGTGGCCATAAGGGAGCTGGAATGGCTATATCAATATCAGACAAAAGAAATTTAAGACAAAAAATGTTAAGAGAGGCAAAGAGGGACATTTTATAATGATAAAGGGGATGATTCATCCAGAGGTCATAACAATCAAAAATGTTTACGCACCTAATAAAAGAAGTTCAAATACATGGAGCAAAATCTGATAGAACTGCATGAAGATATAGGCAAGTCCTTAATTATAACTGGGAATTTCAAATACCCCTTCTCAATAATTGATATAACAAGTAGACAGAAAACCAGTAAGGATGGAGAAGATTTGAGCAATGCTATCAACCAACTTGTGCTACTTGACATTTATACTTGACATTGCTGTTGGCTCAAGCCAATAACAGTAGAATACACATTCTTTTGAAGTGCACACAAAACATTTACATGACAGACCCACATGTTGGCCCATAAAACAAGTCTAAATAAATTTTAAAGGATTTACATCATTCAAAGTATGTTCTCTGACACAATGGAATTAAATTAGAAGTCAATATAGAAAGATATCTGGACAATCCCTGAATATTTTGAAATTCAACAACACAGCTCCAAAGAACTTATGGTCAAAGAAGAAATCAAAATGGAAATTAGGAAGTGTTTTTAAGTGAATGAAAATGAAAACACAACACATCCAAATTTGTGCAATGCCCCTAAAGAAGTACTTAGGAGGAAATTTACAGCATTAAATGCCTATATTAGGAAACAACAGAGATCTCAAATCAATGACCTTAGCTTCCACCTTAAGAAATTAGAAAAAGATGAGCAAATTAAAGACTAAATAGCAGGAAGGCAATAATTAACATAAAAGCAGAAATCAATGGAATAGAAAACTAAAATCTAAAATAGAGAAAATCAATGAAACCAAAAGCTGGTTCTTTGAGAAGATCAATAAAATTGATAAATCTCTAGCACAGGTGATCAGGAAAGGAGAGAGGACAAAAATGATCAATGTCAGGGATGAGAGGAGTGGTTTCACTACAGTTTCTACAGATATCAAAAGGATAATAAGGAAACATTATACCAGTAAACTAGATCACTTTGAAGAATAGACAAATTTCTTGGAAGATATAAAGTACTAAAGCTCATTCAAGAAGTAATAGATAGTGTGAATAGCTCTATATCCTTTAAAGAAATAGAATCTGTAGTTAACTACCTTTCCTCAGGGAAAGCTCCAGGGCCAGATGGCTGCACCAGTGAATTCTACCAAATGTTTAAGTAATGAATAGTGCCAATTCTACACAAATTCTTTCTAAAAATTATTTGAGAGACTACTTTCCAACTCACTCTGTGAGGCCAAGATTACCCTGATACCAAAAACAGACAAAGAAATTACAAGAAAAGAAAACTAAAGACCAACATCCCTCATGAATACTGAGGCAAAGCTCCTAAACAAAATAATAGAGAACCATATTGGAAAACTGTATCCAGGAACATATAAAAAGGATTTTACACCATGATAAAGTGGGGTTTATGCCAGGAATGCAAGGTTGGTTAACAAAAATTAATCAATATAATTCACCATATTAACAAACAAAAAAGAAAAACTATATGATTCTCTCAGGAGATGGAGACAAAGCATTGAACAAAATTCAACATCCATTTCTGATAAAAAATTCTCAGCAAAATATAAATAGAAGGCAATATCTTCAGTTTAATAAAAAGTGTCTATGAAAAACCTACTGCTAACATCACACTTAATGGTAAAAGACTAAACATCTTCCCTCTAAGATCAGGAACAAGGCAAGGATGTTCACTCTCACTATTTGCATTCAACATTGTACTGAAGGTTGTAGCCAGTACAATAAGGCAAGAAAAAGAAATAAAATGTATCTAGGTTGGAAAGAAAGAAGTCAAACTGTCTTTATTTGCAGACTACGTGATCATCTATGTAGAAAATCTAACAGAATCTACAAAAAAAGCAAGTAGAGGGGTTGGCCCGATGTCCGAGTGGTTCAGCAGCCTGGGTTCATGGGTTCGGATCCTGGGTGTAGACGTACACCATTTGTCAAGCCACGCTGTGGCAGCATCCTACAAACAAAATAGAGGAAGACTGGCACAGATGTTAGCTCAAGGCTAACCTTCCTCAGCAAAACATTAAAAAAGCAGCTAGAACTAAGTGAGTTTAGTGAGGGTGCAGGATACAAGATCAACAGACAAAAGAGTGTGCCAAACTTAACCACCAGGC